TATATATATATATATATGGGTTTTAAACCCTTCCCACACTATTGCAATATTCTAAATAATGTTTCTCAACCCTAAACACTCTAAAAGGGCACAGAATGTTGGTTACATACTGTAACCCCAGATTCTATGAGTATAGGCGCAGCCCTTTAAGGCTATCACTAGTGGGTTAATCCCTTTGCGCGCATCACAGCACTGAAAACTTTTGTCCACAACCACCTGCTGTCTGGGCCTCACCCCCAGTCCATATAAATTACGGTGAGACTGGGTAATCGGCTCCCAAATAGCTTTATTCTTTAGCCATTTAGGAACCAGTGAGGCCCAGAGCTTAAAGGGCTGTGCCTATACTCATAGAATCTGGGGTTACAGTACGTAACCAACGTTATATTTCGCATAGGCTTTGCCCTTTAAGGCCATTGCTAGTGGGCTAAAGGCGAAGCAGGATGTAGTCTATGCTTCACGAGGTCCATTCAGACACAATATGAAGCGCCCGCTTGCACCAAAAAACATTTCATCACTCAGCATTCTGTGTGCGTAATTACGAGCTGCGTAATTACATGTTCCATTCACAGGAGCACCCCAGAGAGAAAAGGTCTCCGATGGGGAAAAAGGGACGGCTGAAACGCAGTCCTGCTACTGAGAATGGGAAAAAAACAGCGCTTACGAATTGTAAGCGTGTAACGATAAACAGAGCAGGTCAAAAGCTCTTCAATATGAACTGATTAATAACAAAATGAACTGATTAGTAACCAAATGAAGTGATTGGTATCAACAGCCATGAACTGATTAGTAACAATAAAAACAGCAGTCATGAACTTGTGACTGATAATAAATGTCTCACATGTAATTGCATGCAGTCAGACGTGAGCTTCAAACAAAATTCCATGAAACAAGTAAAAATCATTCTGTTAGAACGCTGAGAACAGAATGAGTCATGGAGAAGGCAGAGACATCACGTAGATAGAAGCGAATAAATGAACAAGGCGATGACCAAGCAGCCGCCGTACAAATGTCCTCCACTGTCATCCCTCCATGCAAACCTGTAGGGTATGAAATCCCTCTGGTGGAATGAGCTCTGAGATTCTTTGGAGGGTCCAGTCCTGATGCTCTGTAAGCTTCAGAAATAGCCTCACACAGCCAGTGTGAGAGGCGATGAGTGGATAAAGGGCGGCCTGCGGAGGTGTCCCTATAATGCACAAACAGACGCTGATAATAACGCAGTGGGGCCGTGCGTGCTATATAACATACAAGCACGCGCACAGGACAGAGGAGGTGAGATGATGCTTCCTCCTCTGAATTGTGAGGAGGAGGATAAAACCCCTCCAAGGTTGTCATTCTCGATTTAAATGAGCTTGTAATGTTTTTGGTATGAAAGCTGGGTTAGGTTTCAGCGCAGCTGAGCGGCCATCAGCTTGAATCCGGAGGAATGACGGGGCAGCAGAGAGCGCAGATAAATTGCTCACTCACTTTGCTGACGTCAAAGCCAGCAGCAGGGCTGTTTGAAGTGACAGGAATTGAAGTGAAACCTGATCTAACGGCTCAAAAGGAGCTTTGATCAAAGCGCGCAGAACCATCGTTAGGTTCTACTGTGGAGATAGTGGGTGTGACACTGGTCTGTGTCTCCGTACACCTTTCAGGAAGCCCTCGTGACAGAAAGAAATAGCTGCTGCATAAGTCTTAATTGTGCTGAACACTGGATTTCTGTCCATCAGCTGCTGCTGAAAGGACAGCATGCCACCTAGTGGACATGAGATGACCTCTACACCTTTCTCCATGCACCAGCACTGAAAAGCTGTACTTTGATATAAGCGCATAAAGGAGCATTTTTGGCCATGGGCTGTGAGCTAAGGCGTCCACTCCTAATGGTGGGTCGTCTCGTGGGCTCAGTGAGAACCATATTTGACACTGGGCGTTCTCCCGTGTGGCGGACAGTTGGGCTAAATGCATGCCTCCCTGACGGTTTATGTAAGCTGCCGTCACTTTGTTGTCTGTGTGGATCAGAACATGCTAATCCCGCAGCAGGGGGGCAAAATGCTGAGTCACCTTTCAGACTGTGAAAACATTCTAGCACATTTATGTGAAGCGACATGTGGTCCAGCCACTGTGCTCCCACTGCCTGGGACAGACACATTCCCCCCAGTTTGACAGGAACGCGTCTGTGAAAACTGAAACGTGCGATGTAGGCCTGCTGATGGGAACTCCCTCTGACAGAATGAGGGGATTTCCCCAGTGATTCAGTTCAGTCCTCATGGAGGGGAACACAAAGATAATCTGCCTCTTATGGCGCACAGGATCTATGTGCAGGCAGGTGAACCATCTCTGAAGGCGTCTCATGTGAAGTTGGCCCAGCGGAACCATGATGTGGGCTGCTGACATTGTCCCAGGAGTTGCATGACAGGCAGACTGTCACTATGCTGCAGAGTTTGACATGGCGGAGCTGAGCTGACAGAGCTTAGGCTCTCAGCTGTGATAAACGGGCTCTCATTGTGGTTGAGTTTAGCTCCACTTCCAGATAATCAATCATCTGGGACGGACGAACGGAACTTTTTCCCAGTTTATAGAAAACCCCAGGTTTAGCAGGTGTAACACTAGCGTTTTGGTCTGTGCGACTGCTTCCTATCTGGACCTAGCTAATAAGAGCAGATCGTCCAGATAAAAATAATTCTCATTCCTGCCATGTATAATGACTGCAGAGCCATCTCCATGCATTTTGAGAACGTGCGTGGGGTGTTTCTGAATTATGGAAAATGTGAAAATATGTGCTCTTCAGATCTATGGAGGTGAAAACCAGTCGTTCTGGTGAAGTTCTCCAGCAGCTGTTTGTCAGCATGTGAAATTGTCTCCCCATGATCGAATTGCTGAAGATGAACAGGTCGAGAATGGGTCTAATCTCTCCGTTTTTTTTTATCAGAACCAGGAAGTAGTGTGAGGAAAAAAAACTGTTTTTTTTTTCTCTCCGTTGGGAACTCTGGAAATCACGTTTATCATCAGAAATTCCTAAACTTCTGACTGGAGAGACGATCTCTGTTCTGGAGAAGACAGAACCGTCTCTATAATCCCTCTGAATGGTGGGGGTTGAGCTATGAATTGCAGCATCTAAATCCTGCTGATCCTGGTCCGTCCATCTGTCCAGGGAACACGCTGCCACTCTGTGTAACACTCGGAGAGCGGGCACGCATTTTGTGTTGTGTCATGTTTCTCATGAACGTCAACCAGAATAAAAACCCTTACTGCCATCAGTCACTCTGGAGATTCTCCAGGGGAATCCAAGGGGGGCTCTGACAGAAAAAAGGCCGCATGTGTGTCTCTGTGCTGAGCCCAGGCTGCAGTCTCATATTAGAGCTGAGGTGAGTCAGCGCGCACCGAGAGGAGGCGTGAGCGCTTTCTGAGTGGGACGCCGTTTCGGTGGAGACTGCAGCAGTTGTGGAGAAACACGTTTACTCCCGCTGTGCTGTGAGTGGGCAGAAAACAGCAGAAATTAAAAACGGGCTCTGGCTGAAAACGAGGGATTTTACCGGACTCAGTCTGCTAAAAAAA